AGTGAAAAACGCATATTACTTCACAGTTTTAATTCAGTGTTAAGTGTTTTCTTGCACAGTTAATAGAAGCAGTGTATGAAGAAGAATCAGTGATACACAGTTGCGCAAAGAGCTGCTCGCAATTCAAAGAACTCCTTGTCTAGTTGAAAGCAGTCCAAAACGTGATGTTTTCTTTTCCATCTGTTGCAGTGGCATCTTGAACCCTGGAATGAATGCGATTATGGGCCCTACTGGAAGTGGGAAGACATCGTAAGTGCTTTTTCATTTATTTCTGTTGATTTGTTTTAATAGTATTTGGGCACTAAAAATATCTAAACCTCATTGCATTAGATAAAATGTCAGCAACTAAAAAAATCATTTTAAAGAATGTCAGGTCCCAATCTTTAAATACTATGTACTTAATAATAAAATAATCAGTTGTTAGGTGCAGTGTACCTGTCGTGTTCATTTTGAACACTTTTGCTGCCGTTGAGGGGGATACGGATAAGATAAGGGGCAGGTTTTTTGCTATGGTTAGGTTTAAGGGGCAGAGGTAGGGTCGGCAGTGAAATGGGTGTAACTACAGAAATAAATTACAGATATAAATTCAGGAAGGTATTTTCAAATATAAGTACAATGTGAAAACATGTATGTATACAATAAGTGCAGTGTATCAAAAGATTAATTTAAATGTAAGTGCATAGAAGTTAAGGACACTTAATATCCACCTTATTTTTCCCGTAAAAGCGGGAGCATTTGTAAATTTAATGTGTCTTGCTTCCGGTCTCATCCGCTTCCAGCTATAATTAACTGTACAAAACAGCTCGTTTTGCGGCTTGATATTTCAAACTGGTGTGTCTTACCATATTTTTTTAACGTATTATCTTAATTATGGACAAACTGGTTTGTAGTGCAACTCGTTTTACCGTTTACTGCATGTGGTTATTCTTCTCGTTATTTCCCTGAAGCGGCTAATGAACTGGAAGTCTCGCACATTGACAGAAAATGGCTTACTTCCGCGTTGAAAAATAAGGTGGATAAAGTGGGTCCTAACAACACCATAAGCACACGTTTCAAGCTAAATATTTGAAAATTAGTTTTTTGTTAGTCACTGCTAAAATGAGTAGGCTCATAAATGGGTTGTTAGGATAGTTAGCATTGTCTGTTTGCAGATGTTCAGTAGCCCCTCACTGCAGAACACTAGAACCAGGGGGCGTGGTTGGATCCACATCAAGGGGGTGGAGATGGGTGGGTTTAGGGGTGGAGATGGTTAGGTGATGGGTAGGTTTAGGGGTGGAAATAGGTAGGTTTAGGGGTGGAAATGGGTGGGTTTAGGGGTGGAGATAGGTAGGTTTAGGGGTGGAGATGGGTGGGTTTAGGGATCAGGGGGTGGAGACGGGTACGTTTAGGTATATTTAAGGTGGGAGGAATTGGATCTGGATCTAACCAGGCCCCCTGGATCTTGTGTTCTGCAGTGAGGACCATCTCCAGATGTTTGATACTTTATCTATATCAGAGTAATTCATGCACTTTCAGTCATCTATTAATTGGATAGTTCAGGCAAAAATTAAATTCTTTCATCATTTACTCACCCCCATGTTACTGATTGACTACAGAGGAAATCAATGGGCCCCAAAGTTGTTTGGTGCCCATCGTTCTTCAAAGTATCTCCTTTTGTGTTCTGCAGAATGGCAGAAAAAAAGTAATTCTGGTTTTGAACGACATAAAGCTGAATAAATCATGACAGAATTTTTGTTATTGGGTGGGGTGTCAATGGGCCCCAAAGTTGTTTGGTGCCCATCGTTCTTCAAAGTATCTCCTTTTGTGTTCTGCAGAACGGCAGAAAAAAGTAATTCTGGTTTTGAACGACATAAAGCTGAATAAATCATGACAGAATTTTTTTTTTTGGGTGGGGTGTTTTTTTTTTTGTTTTTTTTTTGGAAAAACCTACCTTTTAATTAAATAGTTATTTGCATTTACAATATATTGGCATTAATTACAGTGTGTCTGTCTTCAGGCTTCTGGATGTCATTGCAGGACGGAAAGATCCTAAGGGCTTAAAATCAGGCCAGGTTCTAGTTGACAACACCATTGTGACCTCTGACCTCAGACTCTGCTCTGCCTATGTAGTTCAGGTGGGGGGACAACTCTCTCTTTGTCCTTTACAAAATACATATTACAAAAAACTGGTACTATTACTGTACAAAGCTTTGGTAAGATTTTTTTATGTTTTATGCTCTATAAACATTATATTCTCTATAGACTTTATTTTCTATAAGGCTGCATTTATTCAATCAAAAATACAGCAAAAATAATAATATTTTGAAATATTATTACAATTTCAAATAACTGTTTTCTAATTGAATATATTTTAAAATTTAATTTATTCCTGTGATTAATTAGACATATTACAAAAAACTGGTACTACTACTGTACAAAGCTTTGGTAAGATTTTTTTATGTTTTATGCTCTATAAACATTATATACTCTATAGACTTTATTTTCTATAAGGCTGCATTTATTCAATCAAAAATACAGCAAAAATAATAATATTTTGAAATATTATTACAATTTCAAATAACTGTTTTCTAATTGAATATATTTTAAAATATAATTTATTCCTGTGATTAATTAATTTTCAGCATCATTACTCCAGTCTTCAGTGCCACATGATCCTTCAGAAATCATTCTAATATTCTGATTTGCTGCTCGTGAAACATTTCTGATTATTATCATTGTTGAAATTCCTGTGATTAATTTTCAGCATCATTACTCCAGTCTTCAGTGCCACATGATCCTTCAGAAATCATTCTAATATTCTGATTTGCTGCTCGTGAAACATTTCTGATTATTATCATTGTTGAAAACAGTTGTGTTGCTTTATTTTTTGAACATACTGTGATGAATGCAAAGTTCAGCATTTATTTGAAGATCAACAGCATTTATTTGAAATAATCTTTACTGTCACTTTTGATCAATTTAATACATCCTTGCTGAATACAATTAGTATAAATAATTTCTTTAAACAAAAACAATCTTACTGACCCCAAATTTTTGAATAGTAGTATGTATTGTTTTTATCTTACATAGTAGTGATCGAATAAGAATTGCTAGATGATTGAAAATTAATATGATGAAATCATGCATTATTTCCTCTTTCACCTTCCAGAATGACATTCTGATGGGTACTCTGACCGTAAGAGAGAACTTGGCGTTCTCTGCCAATCTCCGCTTGTCACGCAAAGAGTATTCCTCAGCTGACAAACAGATGAGGGTCGACTCCGTCATCCAGGAGCTTGGCCTGAAAGATTGCGCAGATACTAAGGTAATGCACTGAAGAGGAATGCTGAAAATGATTTGTTGTGTTGGTATGAACAAAACATCCTCACAGTGTGTGTGTGTGTGTTAGTGTGTTTGTTTGTTTGTTTGTTTGTGTGTGTGTGTGTGTGTGTGTGTGTGTGAGAGTGTGTGTGTTTGTGTGTGTGTTTGTGTGAGAGTGTGTGTTTGTGTGTGTGTGTGTGTGTGTGTGTGTGTGTGTGTGTGTGTGAAAGAACAACAACAGTAGGGTTGGGTGCTATGTCAGTATACACCGTGTGACCGTAGGAATGTGACATTTTACGCTGACAGGACTTGTTCTCTCTCAGATTGGGACGATGTTTTTGCGTGGTGTTTCTGGTGGAGAGAAGAAGAGGTGCAGCATCGGGATGGAGCTCATTACGTCCCCCTCCCTCCTGTTCCTGGATGAGCCCACCACAGGCCTGGATGCCAACACTGCCAACTCCATCATGGAACTGCTGCAGAAGTATCACACATTCTCTTATCAGACATATCTACTTCCTATGAACAGTGTGTGCCATTAAAAAAAAAACACTTTCTCCTTAATCTTAACCCTGTAAATTCATGGCATATGAAAAGTCTTTTGAAATGGATCAGTTTATTGATACTTTAGACGGTCTCGTATTTGATACAGTAGGCTTTTATGGCTCATGTAGTGTGATAGAGGAGAATGTGGAGCTTATTTTCAAGGAGAAAAAGTTTGTGCAGTTGCTTCATATTTATTTGGCCAAAAAGTTAAATTCAGATAGCCTGTAATGTAAATCAATAAGATCTTTATGACAGTATAGCAGTCTACTTGCATAAAATGCATGTAAATATCAGTTGTCACTATATGTTTCCCAATAATGTCTTAGTAAGATGAGATTTAAATGCTTAGTTTTATGATCAAATTATATAATGCAACGCAATACAATGATTATTGATAGATGCACAAATAAACGTTTCTCAAAAGCCTGATGTATCATATTTGATACTCACATTTTAACATGTAAACAGAGACGTGAACAATGCATTTTCAGAATTATACTAAAAGGCCTTTTACTCGATCAAAAGTATAATTCATAATTCATTGATGTATCAAATTCATACGCTTATAGTGTTAATATGCTGAGACAACTAAAGCCATTTGTAGAATACTTTAACCTTTTCTCAAAAGTGTAAAGTGTACTGTGGTTCATTCTTTTAAAACGCTGTATGAAGTGCTTTAAAAAAAATATTTCTATTTAGAAAACCCTCCAGTGCATTCTCCCCATTGACGTCCATTGAGAGTTTAGGTTTATTGTACACGATGTATTACTGTGCTTCAGACTGAGAGATGAGTCAAAATAATGAAGTGTGGTAAATGACTGCCTGTCACAGATGAGTTAAAACTGTATTTAACCCCCCAGAAAATTGCATAACATTTGACGTTTTTTTACTGTAGCTGTCAGAAGAAACCACATTCCACTTCAAATGTAAAGCACGGTCACGTACAACCTGTTTTTGTCTATTTTGATCATGACAAGTGCTGAGATTGAGATTGATTATTTGTTATTTTGTCACTCAGGCTCTCCAAACAGGGTAAGACTGTCATCTTCTCCATTCACCAGCCACGCTACTCCATCTTCAGCCAGTTTGACCACCTCACACTCATGAATAAAGGAGAAATCATCTACGCAGGGGCCGCCAACAAAGCCATTACCTACTTTGAGGGCTTGGGTACTGACAGACATACTTCGTTCAAATGAAGATCAGCAGTGATCTGCCAAATCAATGCATGTGTACTGTGATTCTCAACCCTGTGCCCATGTGTCGTAGGTTACAAGTGTGAGCCATTCAACAACCCGGCAGACTTCTTCCTGGACGTCACAAACGGAACCGTCCTTTCTCAAATACACAACAATAAATCAGGTGCTGAATGTTTTATTATTTAAATTAAATTAATACTTTTTTTCAGCAAGGACACATTAAATTGATGTGACAGTGACAGTAAAGACATGTCTAATGCTACAAAAGATTTCTCTTTCAATAAAATGCTTTTGGATTTTCTATTTATCAAAGAAAAAAAAAAGGTTCCATAAAATTATTAAGCAGCACAACTGTTTTCAACACTGATAATAATAAGAAATGTTTCTTGGGCAGCAAATCAGCATATTAGAATGATTTCTGAAGGATCATGTGACACTGAAGACTGGAATAATATACTGTGTTTTTGGTCAAATAAATGCGGCCTTGGTGAGACTTCTTTCAAAAACATAATAAATATATTAAAGAGAAAAATTTCCCAATAAGCAGTAGTGGAGGCAGACTGTATTGTAGCAATACATCATTCTGAGTCATGCTGTTGGTACTTTACATGGACATTTAAAGTACCAACAGTACTTTTTAAAACTACGTTTTTGGACTACTCTTGTTAACCATCTGTGTTTGTGTGTTTGTAGAGAAGTGTAGCAACAGCGATGAGATGGTGGAGAATGAAAACCCTCTGGCGGTAATTTACAGAAAGTCCCCTCATTTCCTCAATGTAAAAGACAGACTCATTCAGATTTCAGATGGGCTTGACCCTGAGGTCACTAAAGGTGACAGGGTTGGGTACGCCACACCTTTCTATTACCAGGTATGTAGAAGCAATGGTTTAGCTAAGCTAACGTTGACTCATTAGATAGGTAAGCAGGAATAACATCAATAGATGACCTCTGTGCATGGGTGATGAGTGTATGTCCATGTTGCAGCTCATGCTGGTGAGTGGCCGCACCGTAAGACACATCTTGAGGAATCCTCAGACGTCTTATGCCCAACTGTTCCTCAACATTTTCTTTGGTATTTTAGTGGGACTGATCTACTACCAGATCCCACACACTTTACCAGAGGCTCTTCAGAACAGGTGAGTGTAACCCCTCTCTCTCCGGGTCCTCACCACCACACCTCGCTCTCGCTCCGAGTGGGTCTCCGGCATGGGAGGCGGACGCACTAACAAGGAGGCTAAAGACTGCAGCCTCTAGCGTCAGTTGCTAGTGCGTCTCTTGAGATCAGGGGAGTGAGGTTTACCTGCACAGCACTTACTCGCTGGCCTCCGTTACACTCACCCCCCTAATCCTCACTCCCATCCGGGTCACGGCACCAATGCAACCCCTCTCTCTCCGGGTACTCACCGCCATACCTCGCTCTCGCTCCGAGTGGGTCTCCGGCATGGGAGGCGGACGCACTAACAAGGAGGCTAAAGACTGCAGCCTCTAGCGTCAGTTTACCTGCACAGCACTTACTCGCTGGCCTCCGTTACACTAGCACCTGCTTACATATTTCATTGGGTCCTGAATTACCTTTCTACCACAATTTTCAGTTTAAATTCATGGTGTGGAAATTAAAGGGTTAATTCACCCAAAAATGAAAATTCTGTCTTTAATTACTCACCCTCATGTCGTTCCAAACCTGTAAGACCTCCGTTCATCTTCGGAACACAAATGAAGATATTTTTGATGAATTCAGAGATCTCTGACTCTCTCATAGATAGCAAGGATTCTTACACGATCAAGGCTCAGAAACGTAGCAAGGAGATCGGTAAAATAATCCATGTGACATCAGGGGTTCAACCGTAACGAAGCTATAAGAGAATACTTTTTGTGCGAAAAAGAAAAAAAAAAATTATGATTTTTTTTTTTTTTTGCGTGCCGCAGCTGGCACACAACAGCATACGCTGTTTACGTTCAGTTTGATTTTCTCCAAAAGGGTGCTACGGTGACGCAGAGGAGACGAATTGTTGAACAAAGTCGTTATTTTTTTTTCTTTTTCGCACAAAAAGTATTCTCGTAGCTTCGTAAAATTACAGTTGAACCCCTGATGTCACATGGGTTATTTTAACGATCTCCTTGCTACGTTTCTGAGCCTTGATCGTGGTAGTTACCTTGCTGTCTATGAGAGAGTCAGAGAGCTCTCGGAATTCATCAAAAATATATTTATTTGTGTTCAGAAGATGAACAAAGGTCTTACGGGTTTGGAACAACATGAGGGTGAGTAATTAATGACAGAATTTTAATTTTTGGGTGGACTATCCCTTCAAGGAATGTAAATGGAAAATGAGGTCAAAAAAATTTAAAAGCTATAATATACAAAATATTTAAAAAAATCTAAATATATATGTATGTATGTATATGTTTGCACGTGTAATTTTCATCATATCTTTTGATATATCATTTGATACATCAGGCTTTTATGGTTCATATAGTATGATATAGGAGCTTATACTCTAGGTGGAGGCTCAAACTGAGCAAAAATATTAAATATGCTATTTGATATAGTTGCTAATATTTATATGGCCCAAAAGTAGCTGAAATTCTGATAGCCTTGTGAATCAGTGAGATTTTTATAATATTATATATAACATGCTACTTGCATAAAATACATATAAATGTCAGTTCTGTGGTTTTATGATCAAACTCTGTAGTTTTTATTGTGGAAGCAAAACATAACGCAATGCAATAAAATCATGACTGAATGATGAACAAATAAAGGTTCCTCTAAAGCCTGATCTTATTTGATACATTTTAACACGATTTTTCATGTCATCTGGAAAAAAAGACTAACAATATTAAAGATATTCTTTTTTACATATATTCTTTTTTATATATCTTTAAAGATATATCTTTTTTGTTTACTTTATAAAAATCACAAACTGATTAATATATATATATATATATATATATATATATATATTTGCTGCCTCTTTTCTCTTCAGAACGGGAGCTTTCTTTTTTCTAGTCATTAACATGGTGTTTGGCAATCTGTCTGCGGTGGAGCTCTTCATCAGCGAGAGAGTGCTCTTCATGTGAGTCGACCTCCAAACATGAGCTTTCCAGCCTGCTGTTCCTATTCGATAAAGACCACCATCACATGTTCCTCTCACCTGCAGCCATGAGAACTCGAGTGGTTTCTACCGCACCTCTGTCTACTTCCTGTCCAAAGTGTTTGCTGACCTCATACCAAACCGCATCCTCCCCGTCTTCATCTTTTCTGCCATCCCGTACTTCATGATGGGTGAGTAGAGTCACTTTCTTCTTCTTTCAGGAAGACATTTGTCCACAAACACAATCCCATAGTTAACTGAAAAGATCCAAGATGGTGCATGAAGCAAGAGAAGTGTGTTCATTCACTGTTACTTTATTAGTGGAGCAATGTAAGGAATAGTGAATGAGGGCGCCATTATGGTGGCAGTTGCTCACTGTTATTGTGTTACAAATGAAACATAAATCACATTAATAACCGTTTACAGCCCTTTGTTGTGGGTTTTTGCTGTATCTACATTACACTGTTTCAGTGAGCTTCATCTCTATTTGTGGCTCAGGCCTGAAGCCTGATGTGGAGGCGTTCTTCCTGTACTGTGTGACCATGAGTATGGTCAGTCTGTCAGCGGTGAGCTTGGCCTTCCTGATCAGCGCCAGTGTGGGCTCCTTCGCCATGGCTAACATCCTCATCGCACTGCCTTATGTCGTAATGATGGTGAGTTTAGCCGAACAGAAGATTTACAGACATGTAGATTGTTTGCTTTGTTCTAAAAAATAAAAAAACACTTGCATTTTCTCATTGGTTCGGTTCACTTTTGTAACATTTGAAAATGGACCAAAATGATATTTCTTACCAAAATTCTGATTATTTTACAGCATGATTGCATATGCCTAAACTACGACAGCGTTTTAGTGCCACGTCAAAAAAGTAAAACAAAATCTAAAATTACGAGATTAAAGTCGTAATATTTTTGAGAATACAGTGGAAAATTTTCTCCTGGTGCTCCCAATCCGGGCCATTTGCATGCGCAATAGGCTATAGAATGAACTCTCAAAATATTATAACTTTAATCTCCTAATTGTTACAAATGAATTCTTGTAATTTTGACTTTATTTTCGGAATACTTCGACTTTATTCTCATAATTTTGACTTTATTCTCAAAATACTTCGACTTTATTCTTGTAATTTTGACTTTATTTTCAAAATATTTCGACTTTATTCTCAAAATATTGGACTTTATTCTCTAAATATTTTGACTATTCTCATAATTTTTACTTTATTCTCAAAATATTTTGACTTTATTCTTGTAATTTTGACTTTATTTTCAAAATATTTCGACTTTATTCTCAAAATACTGGACTTTATTCTCAAAATATTTTGACTTTATTCTTGTAATTTTGACTTTATTTTCAAAATATTTCGACTTTATTCTCAAAATATTGGGCTTTATTCTCAAAATATTTTGACTTTATTCTTGTAATTTTGACTTTATTTTCAAAATATTTCGACTTTATTCTCAAACTATTTTGACTATTCTCATAATTTTGACTTTATTCTTTAAAATATTTCGACTTTATTCTTGTAATTTTGACTTTATTCTCAAAATACTTCGACTTTATTCTCGTAATTTTGACTTTATTCTCATATTGATATTTTATTCTCGCAATTTTGTAATTTTCCTCCAAATATTACGACTTTAATCTCGCAATCTTAGACCTTTTTTTTTAAATTTTTAACGTGGCACTAAACCGCCATAGTACTAAACAAACCAAACAAATGAGCAAAACATTGTCAGGTTGAACAGGTCAAAATGATTGCTTTAAATGCACCAACACGACATTAGGAAGTAAACTGCAATTAATGGGATGGTGTACTTTTGGAACTTCGCATGATCTATTCTCACAGGTTCTTCTGTCCTGTGTCTCCTCAGGTGTTTGGGGGTTTCCTAGTGAACCTGAATTCCATGCTGAGCGGGATGTCCTGGCTGAAGTGGGCCAGTATATTCCGATATGGCTACAATGTAAGAACATAAAACATTTTACGACTCTGTATATATTTGCGTTTCGGCAGTAATCCAACCAAACTGCCTCCCTTCAGGCACTTGCCATCATCGAGCTAAAAGATCAAGTCTTTACCAGTAACTACACCAGGTAAGACTCACTCATACTCGGTGGTGCCACCTACTGGAAAAACAGAATTATTATCAGCGTTTAGTCTCTAGGAGGTCATGTGGGTAATGTGAGGTGTGTCAACTGCAAACTCTCTCTCTTACTGACAGCATGACAGGTGACATGTATCTGGATCATCAAGAGATCGACTACAGCACTTGGGGCTTTTGGCAGAACCAGGTAGCTCTGACAGGTATTATGTGCGTGTGTCTGATTCTTACTTATGTGCAGCTGCGTCGGATCAATCGCTGGAAGTGAAGGAATGAGTTTTTATTTTTTTTAACCCTTTGCATCATGAAATCATACACGTACAGAGAAATGTGTCAGCCATACACAGAATCCACAGCTCACTACCTCAGTACTTCAAATCGGCTAACTCTGAAACTACCTGTGGCATAAAGTATGTAATTGTTTGAAATTTTGTAAAGGTTTCATTTTATAAAGTTGTAAACTGAATACAGCTGTAAACCTAAAAAAAAAAAGAGATTGTATTTAGTGTCATTTATTGCCAAAGAACAACTACAATACACTTACAAATAAAATTTAAAGAAGTAAGTTTAAGAATTATTGCAAAACATTCAAAGTGAAGGGAGATTGATGCGATTACAGGAGCAACAACTGAGAATGATGCAGAGTTCATGGGAGTCACGATGAAATGGTGCTAGCAACAGATCTTTTCTCACATATTGTGACATACAGAGCAAAAAAGGGTTTTATACGTCTATTCACAAAGCTTGACACAAAGTATGTTTTTGTTTGCTATTAGCGGACATGCATATAAACAGCCTTTTAATTAACAGAGTAGAATAATCATGGCTGATAGTAATACATGCAAATGTAAAAAACAAAACGACAAAAAAAAAAAAAAAAACTGGATGCAAGAACAGCGGTTACCTCTTGCCCAACTGGTTAATGACAAAGATATAATCAAAGGAAAATTTGGGGTTGGGATAACCTCCAAAACCAAAGGTGATACCTTATTTAAAAGGTCATTATCGTCAAATGTTTCTAAAAGGTTTACGTTCAGGGGTAGATTGCTGGCAACAGCCATTTTAGGATAGTTCAGATTTGGTCTTAGTGACTTAGGAGTCCTCTTCACTGCTCCTAACCTTTCCCAGATTTAGGAGCTAGTTTTAGAGTTAAAACGCTTTGAAATACTCTAAGAGCAAAAAATGTAGGAGTCCTAAATTTAGGATTGACGCCCATGATTTAAGATTTTCTCCTAAATCGTTATGTTTGTTATAAGCTATGTTATGAGTTAAGATGTTTTGTGAATACGGGCCCTGATCTTAAGGATTCCTGTTGAAATTACTGAATTTAGAAATCTCACAGAGCAATAGTAAGTGACTGCACCTTAAGAAAGAGGCAGGTTTTAAGCAAACTAATTGATTGGAAAAGCCCAGTTTACATCACCAGAAAGACATTGAAAATTACAAGGTCAAAAACAGTTTTATGCTGAAGTTTCATACCATTTGATGAGTCTTATTTGTAAAGTGTATTTTAACTTCCAGAGCTGATCAACTGACAAAAAGGGGTTTGAAAAACTTCTGAAACCACGGAGAATGGGGTTGAAGTTGGTTTTATTTTAACTGTTAAAAAACAAAAAGGCTCAGTCTGAACAGTGTGAAGCACAAGGATAAAATCTGACATTTAGGTAGCAGTGTCAATCAGTGACGGGCATCAGTTGAACATCAGGAACGTCAACATCACTTCCCCTTCAGATCATTAATAGACAGAATGACAGTTAAAGAGAATCGACTTCCATTAGGACCAAAAGTGTCACCCATTAAAAACAAAGATTTAAATCACTGGCCTTGCAGGTGCATTTGCAGTTAAAGAGGGAGGCAGGGAAAATGGAGCATCCAAAGCATTTCATCGTCATTCTCAGGGGTCTCAGACCACCTCTTCTGATAAAGGCACAATCTATTTCCATATAAACTCTCATGCTCTGTGCATATTTAAAGAAACCGACATTGTACAACTAAAAGAATATTACGTCTAAAATAGCCAAAATAGCACAAAAAAAAAAAAAAAAAATTGTTTCAGTGCAAGTATTTCCCATATAACTACACCTGCTATTCCTAACTCCCTCCAAACCCCTGCCCCCTCAAAATACACGTCCTTTCAGTAAAAGCTTTCTTTCCCCTGAAACAAGGCTGTTAAATTAGCTGTGACAGTTGTCACTTTTTAAAGAAAACCCAAATATTGATTTCACAACAGAAAAGCAGCTCTACAGCAATTCCCCTTTAGTTTCCCAAGATTGTTGTGGAACGCTCTGCTCATCCTTTAGCTCCACACGTGACGCCTGCAGTGGTCCAAGGCCTACAACACACAAACACAGAAGCTACATTTAAGTCACAGCCGGTTTCTGATGTGCAGTGCAACATTAGACTCAAAACAACAAAAAAGTGGTCTTCTGTAACACCAGAAAGACAATACTCACGTTACAGCGAGAAGCGGTCTCCACGTTCTTACACCAGTATGATGGTCCCCAGCTGCACTGCTCCAATCCCAGCAGCCTCTGCACTGCCTCAGGACATGCTCCCAGCTTCTGTACACACCCCAACAAACTCAGTCAGGGATCATCATTTGATCACATGATTTGAGCTGGAGAGTGAAGGGTAGATCTTACCATGCAGACAAAGTCAGGATCCAGCGTCTGGAGCAGCAGCTGTACCAGCAGAGGCTCATACTGCTCAATGAGCTGGTTACACTGCAGGAAGATGAACACACACTTAGACCGATACACACTCCACCTATACGGCTACATCATTTCCTACAGGAATGGAGTGGTCCGATTCGGTCCATTTCTAGGATTCAAACCATAAACTTGAGGTTGATTGATGTAGGGCTGCACGATGTGGGAGGAAAAAGGAAATATTTTCTGCAATGTACATTTATAAATAGGGCTGCACAATTGAGCAAACATTTAAAGGGATAGTCCACCCAAAAATGAAAATGGTCATTAATTACTCACCCTCAATTCGTAAGACCTTCGTTCATCTTTGGAACACAAATTAAGATGTTTTTGATGAAACCCGAGAGCTTTCTGACCCTCCATAGAGAGCAACGTACCACCACGTTCAAGGCCCAGAAACATAAGCACAATTAAAATAGTCCATGTGACATCAGGGGTTCAACCGAAATTATGAAGCTACGAGAATACTTTTGTGCACAAAGAAAACAAAAATGGACTTTATTCAACAATTCTTCGCCGCGTCACCGTAGACACCACGACACATGCGTGTGCATTCCTCTGCTCATAAACAAGGCGCAGTGCGTTCTACGTCAGCAGCACCACACACATGCATCATGGTACTCTTGATAATGGCGGCAGACTGACCCAGAAGAGAAGATATTGTTGAATAAAGTCATGATTTTGATTTATGCACAAAGTATTCTTGTACCTTCATAAAATTAAGGTTGAACCACAGATATCACATGGACTATTTTGACGATGTCCTTACTACCTTTCTGGACCTTGAACGTGGTAGTTACATTGCTGTCTATGGAGGGTCAGAGAGCTCACAGATTCCATCAAAAATCTCTTTAAAGGGTTAGTTCACCTAAAAATTAAAATTCTGTCATGAATTACTCACCCTCGTGTTGTTCCAAACCTGTAAGACCGTCATTCATCTTCGGAACACAATTAAAGATATTTTTGATGAAATCTGAGGGCTCTCTGACCCTCCCATAGACCGCAAGGTAACTACCACGTTCAAGGTCCAGAAAAGTACCAAGATGATCGACAAAGTAGTCCGTGTGACATCAGTGGTTCAACTGTAAAGTTACGAAGCTACAGGAATACTTTTTTTTGCGCAAAGAAAACAAAAATGACTTTATTCCACATTTTCGTCTCTACTGCATCACTTGTGGACGCGTGTTCCGTACCATGACGCAAGTGTGTGGCGGCACTGACCCAGATCCGGCGTAATGACGTCATCACGCCGGATCTGGGTCAGCGACGGCGCCGCCACACGCTCGTGTGTACTCTCGCGTCATGGTACTGTCGTGAACTGAAAATCTTTACAGTTGAACCACTGATGTCACACGGACTACTTTGTCGATCATCTTGGTACTTTTCTGGACCTTGAACGTGGTAGTTACCTTGCGGTCTATGGGAGGGTCAGAGAGCCCTCAGATTTCATCAAAAATATCTTTAATTGTGTTCCGAAGATGAACGAAGGTCTTACGGTTTTGGATCGAGATGGGGGGGGTAATTAATGACAGAATTTTCATTTTTGGGTGAACTAACCCTTTAACCAAACATTTTGCCTCATTACAAGTATGGGAAGATGGTTGACGCATGTTTTGTTCCTGAATGCATATTTAAATGACCCAAATGTGTTAGCAAATACAAATCTCACACTGCATGTTGCTGGAAACACAGTAGAATGTCTGCTGACATTCTAAATGAAATTAACACTTGTATTGTATTTGTTCTGTTGTTGGATGTATTAAAAACATGACGCATGGGTGTCTGTTTACTGCAAGCGTGACCTACCTCATCTCTGACAGCGTCAGGCAAGAAGTCGCAGACCTTCAGCACAGCCTCCTCGATCTCGGCCTGAGTGGCGTTCTGCTCCAGGATCCCGTCCACATAACGCACTGCCATCTTACACACGTCACAGAAGCCACCCGCCTCAAATCGTTGCTTGTCCATTACAGCTGCAAGAATAAAGCATTACAAATGCATCTCACACATCTAGAAAAAGAGGAACAAAATACTGAAAACAAAAGTATTATCGGCACTTACAGACATGGCTGACCCCATTGCAGAGAGCGAGGAAAGAGCAGATGGTTTTGGGATCGGCCTCCTGCACAAGCAGTTCAATGATGGCCTGGCCGTAGGTCTCAATCAGGTCCTTGCACTGAGCGGTGAGTGTGGAGGGTAAAATGTCACAGACTTTCTCCACAGCCTGCACAATCTCTTCCTGAAAAACCAGAGTGTCAGCACGCCTTTAACGGGTTAAAGGTGCAAATTCATATCAAGTTCTCCAGAAAACTCGGAGAGCGAAAAAAAACATTAGACCTTGCTGTTAGTACTACTAATATTGAAATACAGTTGAGTATTGTTTTTAATTTAAGTATTTCATAATGTGAAGCCGTTTCTGCACTGATGCAAGGCTTATTTTATCTAATAATGATGAATATTAAGAGTTCGAGTGAATCGCATCACAACTGAAAAGAGAAAATCCAATGCAAGCTTTTGTTTGCGGACTGGAAACACCAGGATGCATGCATTATCCTTTCATATTTATCTACTTTCTCTTCTCTGAATGGAGAAGGCCTTATTCCATCAGTCCCAGCTGCTGCTATGTTTATCAATCTTTACATCTAATTGTTGATGAAAATCCACACATTTCAACAGATTCAGACCAGACTGGTCGTTACGGTTTTTTACTGCCAATCAATGGAGAATCAATTCTTTTACATGTGGCTTCTTACCTCAGATGTGTGATCCTGAACCATGTCCTCAATTTCCTTCATCACAAACTCACAGATGGCACACTGAGGAGAGTCACGTACTTGCACCAGATTCTATTAAAACAGAAGCACATGCATCAAGGAAACATCATGCATTTTTACACAATTTCCCAACTAAAGCTTAATTTGAATGCCATTTACAGCCCATAACAGCTGACCACATTTTAGAGTCATTAAATTAAATTTACATTGTCAAAGCGGAGGATGAAAGTAAAGTAAAAGTTTCCATTTCTTTATTTTCTCTCTTAAATGAACCAGTGACCCAAGTGTCGCACAAAGCCATTTTAAATGCTCAAAAGTGTTAAACTACCAAATACACCGATTCAAATTAAAACAACAGAAGCTACGTGCTTTTGTACCTTAGCAGGCTTGCTTTTGACAGGTGTTTCAAGTTTGGTTGCAGGGAACATCTTGACAGCAGGGATCGATTTGGCAGGCAAGAGCTCCTCCATGTGCACAGATTTATTCTGAGTGGAGCAGAATCCAGCACGAGAGCAGATGTCCTTGGGTTGCTGCAGAGGGGTTGTAAGACATTCAGTGAGTAATATGGCACCAGTTACACAAGATGATGGCAGGATGAGTGGAATATTAGGCATGCACCGACTAACACGTTTATGCACCATCTTCCTGGATGAGGAATCATGCAGCATCCATTGTGTCACACCTCTCTGACTAACCAATTACCCATGATGCTGCTCCACCTCATGCCCACAGCATCCAACATCCCCCTGCCAATCTGACGCCTGCCATGCATGCAAGCACAAGATGTGCAAGTATGATCTGAAGAACGGCCAAAGCTAGTGGTTCAATTAAAAGACCAATAACACTTTATAGCAACCACATGTTCAAATGAAAGTGTTTGAATGAGAGCTCTCAGGATGGAGGTTAAAGATTTGGTTCCAACTGCAAATAATGATTAATCAGTTCATGATTCTTTTAGCACCTTGACACAAACCTAAAATACTTGACAGATTTGGTCACTGAAGGAGTCAATTAAAAACAGATTCAAACCCACATATTGAGTCTTTATGACCAATTAATTCAGAAGAACAGGCTCAAGTCTGCAATACAAACACTAGTCACAAAATGTTTTAGTTCTGTGAGAGCAGCAAGTGAACACAATGGAAAGTTCTTTTTTTTTTTTTTACACTTGCTACTGAATGGAATTCAGGAAACCCTGTCAATGGAATTCTATCTGTCTGGGGAAGAATGCAGACAGAACCAAAATAGCATGGAAATTTGGTTGGGTAAATTCTAGAAAGCTGGTTATACGACATGCGCAACAAGTTTGCAGATAAGTAAAGATAACCGCAAATTCTAGTTCCAAAACCTGAGGTAACTAAGTTAAGTAGCCATAGCAGCTTAACTCTATTGATGAGGCTCCAGGCTTTAATATTATTATATCAATAACTTTTCACACTAATAACAAATAAAAAAAATTTAATAAAATAAATCACAGTTTTAGTATGGTGTGCTGCTTAGCATCCATTTCCATGTTACTGCAGGATTTGTTGGTCTGTTGCAATGTCTTTGTGTGTTCTTGGATGTTGAATGAGCCGAGTGAACTTACTCTCAGCCATTTTTACCAGTAAGAACGTTTCGGTTTAAAACCAAGAGTTTGGGGTTTATTTGACAGCAAGTTTAGCCCTGCTTTCTGAAATACCCCCCTGTTATTTTGTTGAATGAAACCAGTAACCAAAGAAGAGTCAGTACATGGTTTCAACCCTACTCAGTATTTTTATGGATGATGGAGGTCATGATAATGGATGATCGGTCTGGTACTACATCTACACAAAACATGAAATCCTCAGGGTTAGGGCTATTTTAAGAGTGCGTGAGTGGCTAGTCTAACAACAGCACAGATTAGCAACGGTCGGTGTTGGATTAGAACACAGCACAGGTGATTAGCCACATGACAGACAGATTAAAAGGCACAAGCTAGGATGAGACTAGCAGCACAGAAAAACCTACCTGCTCCTGAAGACCAGAGCAAACAAAACCACAAGGAGGGAGAGAAAGAAAATGAAGGTGGGAATAAATAATAAAAGGAGGGAGAGAAAACAAGTGATTAGAGTTGTGGATTAAGCTGGCAGACAGGCAGAGTGTCTTAACAAGGAAAGGAAACAAAAGCAGCTTTGTTCACTTGACTGACAAAACCTGCAACAAGCTCTCCATATTAAAGGGGTCATATTTTAATAATGTTGTTCCCCCCTAAGGTCTACTCCTGAATGTTAGTCATTTATGCAGCAGTCACATCAATTTATGATCATTTTCCACCCTCTTGTTGACCCTTTAAACCGGATGTTTTTGTTGCCATCTTTAATACAAACCTCCTCTGTGCATGTGAAATGATACAGTGCTGAGCAGCACCTTTACTCATGAGTTGTGGACTTGAACACAAACCCAATAGTTTTTAAACAGCCTTATCCTTCAATACGTGCGCCCTGTATCTGCACTACATATACACGCTCTACTTCCTCCTTAGTGACAGGGCGGACCACATTTCTGAACAACTCATTGCTAAACATCATTCACAAGCTCACAAGTTTAAATTCACATTTTTACACTAGGAAGGAGGTTTTGAGTTTTGGAAGTTATAGAACATGATCATGCATTAAAATTTGATTCCTCATATGACCCTTTTAAAACTCACTGTGGTGTGCCACGAGGAGAGGAACTAATGCACCCATTTTGGTAATGGAGGATGGAAGAATGAAACAGCTGAAATGCAGACACAAATAAGACATAAAAAAAAAAGATGCAAAAATCACTTACCATAGACATAAGCTGTTGAAAGACCAATGGTCCATACTGGCTGATGTACTCCTTGCACTGTTGAAGAAATGAGAGATAAGACCACCAAAATTGTCCCACACATACAATGGCATCTTTACTTTGAGCACACAACTCTAGTAAACTCATGCTCTCACCATATCAGACATGCCAGGTCCCAGCAGCTCACACTGGCTCTCCACCCTCGCGAGTAGAGTGTTGATAAATGAGGAATTGGCTTTGGCTTCCTCCTGAGTGTCAGAGATGAACGTAACACAGTCCTGGCACACATCTCCACCAGTCTGCAGACAGAAAAGAACACCCATCAGTTAATAAACATACAGGATGAGATTAATTATGCATATTTTAATCAGAAACACAAACGGTTTATGACACCATAGTATGTTTGACACCATTTTTTCCCCCTCCATTAAAACATACAGGTTTGACAGCTTCACCTGTTTGGGGGTCTCCTCCTTGGTATTCTCTTGAGGGTAGAGCAGCTGAGGGATGTTGAGCAGGAAGGGGTTGACACGCTGGTTCAGGTCCACCTTAGGGATCTCATTGGACATGAGCTGAGCTTTAGCCAGAGTTGCCTGCTGGGACACACACAGGCCCATAGCACCGCACACCACACCGGGGTCATCCTGCGAGATGACGGGAACACAGAAGCATTGGAAAGCATGATATAAACCAGGGGGTAGGCAGTCCTGCAGAGTTCAGCTCCAACCCTAATCAAACACACCTGAACAAGCTAATCAATGTCTTCAGGATCACTAAGGCTATAGGCAGGGGAGTTTTGTTTTCAGGGTTGGAGCTGAACTCTGCAGGACTGCGGCTCTCTAGGACCGAACTTGCCTACCCCTGATATAAACCAATAGGATCTGCAGCTGAATACATTTCCCCTTGCTTCAGTTCTTTAAAGAAGACTGTGGCTGATGCTGTGAATGACAGATGAGGCTCTATGGGAAGGAAGAGCCTATTACACAAAGGCTGCTTTGTGGATAGCTAACCATCTTAGCGGCACTAGACCAGTCTAGTCAGACCAAAGCATTTAGTTAGTTTTGGAGTAATAAAAATTAAAGCGCTTCATTTCAGATTTTACCCACTAAGATCATTTTATTTCATGACCTTGATGGTGAGAGTAACTTCTCTAAATTGTGGCTTGATCAATTTTTCACCAGCATGTTTGAATGTCACTGATTTGTGGCTTTTACAAAAGCACAAATTGCTAAAAAAATCCACTATTTGGTGGGAAGTAATGACTATTCTCTACTGTATCACTGAACAGCATGTTTGCCTTTCCGCTCCAAAAGACCTTGCGTTTTGGTACATGGTGGGTGTTCAACAGTTTTCAAATCACAAGGGAATTATGTTACTGAATTAGTTAAAAGGGAAGGCAAGGAAGTATCCGGCTCACCAGCTCTCCTTCGATGATGCCCATGAGAATGGGGAAGTAGTTGTCAACAATCTCCTTGCACTGGTCAGCCAGGCCCTCGTCAGGGATCAGCTGACAGGCCTTCTCCATGTATCCGAGGAGTTCGCCCTAGATTTGACAAGAATTTGGACTTTGGCCTCCCATAAAAAGTACTCAAAACTCCAGTGCTATCATGTCAGCATACCTCTGTGGCATTGTCCTTCAAAAGCTGCTCCACCACCATCAACACCTCTTTGCACAGATCACATGGCACAGATTTCTGCAAGAAAGGAGGTTTTATACACTTCGAGCTCATGAATTATGCACTGGCACACAAAAGCACTTCTGAGAATCAGGTCAGCGCACCATCTGAGGCTTGTTCCACACGTTCTGTTGGCAGTGTTGGACGGCACCACAAAGGGAAGCGGTCTTGACATTCTGGCACCAGTAGGGGGGACCGCGGGCACACTGCTCCGTACCCAACAGGGGACTCGCCACGGCTAGCAAGAAGCAAGAGAAAATAGATTAGATATGTATAACACAGCCACAATGGTCACACAGACATGTGATGGCCCAGTCAAGTCAGCAATTACGCAGCAGTACCTCATTTCTTATCTGATCAGACTCAGAGGTGACACTTCACATGATTCATTTTAGGTAAAAAAAAGTAACCCATTACTGGTTACTGTATTCCATTTGTATTACAGCCACTGCACCATCTATTCAGCAATCACAGTCTTTCATTTTTCTACAACCAGGTGACCAATAACAGGTTACTGAAGTGTCTTTTCTGTGATTCATGACCAAAACTGACAATCACTGTAGAAAACGCATAAGCGAGTTTGCACAAACTCCCCATTGAATTCTAATCAAAAGTTAGATTTGAGAAGCAAATCATTATAGCTGCCAAAACACGAAAACAAAATACTTTAGCCTTTCACAATCAGACTTTCCACACAGAACTGTTATTGAGACCATTAGGATGGCAGAGCAATACTGAAAATTAATAATGAAGAGAGAGGGAATATTTTTATTTATTTATTTTTTTTTTATTAAAAGAACCTACTAGTGCGTGTAATGTGTGGAAAGTCCCGAAACCTACCAAGAGTCAGTTAATATTGATTTCACCAAGTACAATGCTTAAATTATAATTCTAAATTAACTTCCCCTGAAGTGAACAGTCAAACCTGCAATGAACAGGCTCACAGTCTGTGCCTGCAGATTTCTTGAGTTCTTGCCTAGAGCGGATAAGAGATAACTACAGTTTCACGCTCTTAAAAATAAAAGTACTTCAAAAGGTTCACAGCGATGCCATAGAACCATTCAGTCAAAGGTTCTTTAAAGAACCATCTCTTTCTTACCTTTTTTTAAATCTGAAGAACCTTTTTTCACCACTGTGTAATGTGTGGAAAGTCCCGAAACCTACCAAGAGTCAGTTAATATTGATTTCACCAAGTACAATGCTTAAATTATAATTCTAAATTAACTTCCCCTGAAGTGAACAGTCAAACCTGCAATGAACAGGCTCACAGTCTGTGCCTGCAGATTTGTTGAGTTCTTGCCTAGAGCGGATAAGAGATAACTAGTTTCACGCTCTTAAAAATAAAAGTACTTAAAAAGGTTCACAGCGATGCCATAGAACCATTCAGTCAAAGGTTCTTTAAAGAACCATCTCTTTCTTACCTTTTTTTAAATCTGAAGAACCTTTTTTCACCACCAAGAACCTTTTGTGAAACAGAAAGGTTCTTCAGATGTTAAAGGTTCTTTATGGAACCATTTAGACAAAAAGGTTCTTCTATGGCATCGTGAAGCAGCTTTATTGTTAAGAGTGAAGGCTGGTAGTTTTAATCAGACATTTTTTGAAGAATCTTTCCTCCTGACGAATTAAAAAAAAATTCATGCAAGGCATTCCAAAATTTGTTGGCAATATCATCTGACCTATGACAAAAACTACAAGCAGGTCTTATGATCCAGTGTCTGTTTCCACCAGCTCAGCATCACCCTCCGCAGCGGACTGTACAAAAGACACGTTGACAAAACCCAGATGCAAAAGAGCAAGTGCATTTTACCAACTCACTGACACGGAGTTTTACTGTAATGAATTATGACTCAGTGATACCGATTTGTTTCTCCACCAATGAGTCACAAATCACATGATGCATAAATAACTGTGCCATGACTAAACTTTAAAAACATCCCTAAAGGACTAAACTCTTAACACAACGAAGTACACTACTACCAATGAAAACACAACCTTCTGTTAAACCAGCAGACTTTCACTTCTGTTTTGCCACTCCATATCAAGTGTCAAAACCAAATCAGACACCACCTAAATGAAAGCCTAAAGTGAGAAATAAAGTGTAGACATTAAAGATTATGGGAAAGCTCTATGCCATAAACCTATGGCCCAAGAACTAGCTGTAAAGCTGGGTCATTTACTTTGCATGATCACTGTGTTAGTTATGAGACTGTTTTGACCCTACAAACAATAAAACTTACATTTTACCAGCACTTCTGCTAAATACAAGAGCAGAAAGAGATGCCTCAATAACAATTACTGCTAGACAGAAAACAGGCTACTCAACATGGTAATGGGTAGTTGCAAAAGCATGTAAAGAAATGACAGTAACTACTCTAAACAACATTTTTTAAATTCTCTTATATCTGTGCATGAACTAATTAACTGAGAAAGAGTTCTTAAATTCCACTGGGTTTTAGAGAACTGCAAAAATCTAAAGCTATTCAATAAACAAAAACTCTTAATGTTACATTAAAAATTCTTGCCGATGTGCTCAGACTACGCAAAATGCGGAAACGATTGAGCAAACAAAAATCACATACTCAAAATAACTCTACAGCATTAAACTTTTAAGTCATGCACAGAGTCTAATTGGCCAATAGACCAAACTAGGACAGTTCCCATCTTCCTCTTTTGCAATTGCTTTTATATAAAAAAAAACAAACAAACAAAAAAAACTGCATGTCAATGGGAAGTGAGACACTATGGTTGAGAGGCATATGTGGTTTTATTAATAAACCATTTTTCACAAGCCAGAGGCTGCGAGACTGACCTCACATATAGACCAAAGTATGAAGGCCACCTCTATGCCTTCATAAGCAAAAACAATAATCCTTTGACCAAAAAAAAAACCTTAAAAAAAAAAAAAAAAAAAAAAAAAGGCGAAGTGAAATTGTGATAGTAAATGGCAAATCTTAAAGAGGAACACAGACGAGGACGTTGAAACTACAAATGTAGCAACGGATCTGATCCCTGGAAGTACGAAGAGGCGTTATTTTGAAGCACTACGCAACCTAGTTACAAATTACGCAGACAATTGATCAGACGTCAGACAAAAGAAAACTGCAAGAGATAAAAAGACAGCCTGGGTATATCTGCGTTAGGGAAACAAACAGGTTTCGGTCACCATTCAGACACCTCTATCAGAGAAAGAGATAAAGTTGATGAAATAATCTAATTTCACATAGATCAAGCGCGAGATGAAGGTTACATAAAAACTGATGCGTCATGACGCGGAAACGATTCGCATTAAATCCAAATTAAATTTGAGTTTAATAAATACATTAAGAACTATAATAAATAATCAATTAACCTAACCGTTTCATACAAAAGAATCGGCAGATAATTATTAAAATACACCTCCGTCAGATTAGACCAGTCAAAAACATATGCGCAACAAACACATGCACGTGTACGAAACATACAAAAACCGGCTAATCGATCAAGCGCGAGATGAAGGTTACATAAAAACTGATGCGTCATGAAGCGGAAACGATTCGCATTAAATCCAAATTAAATTTGAGTTTAAGAAATACATTAATAATCAATTAACCTAACCGTTTCATACAAAAGAATCGGCAGATAATTATTAAAATACACCTCCGTCAGATTAGACCAGTCAAAAACATATGCGCAACAAACACATGCACGTGTACGAAACATACAAAAACCGGCTAAAAAAATAAAACACCACAAATAAACCATTTTAAAGAAATTGCTTTAAAAAAAAAAAATCAAAAATCCAATTATACAAATATATACAAAATTATGCAAAAACTTTTTGTTCCTGTTTCAAAAACCTAAATTATAATAATTTTGGCGAATTCTGCCCTTCAAATAATATTTAAATATAATCGTATTTTCTATAGATTTCTGGGTTAAAACGTGTACGTAATCAATTTCATGAATAGTTTTATTCCGTATGATTTTTAGTGGTAAATTCATGTTGAGAGAACTAGTCCATATAGCGTCATAACAAGCTCTGCTAGTGTCACACAAGTTCAATGTGAGTTAATAATTATATTTCCATTTGCAAGAGAGCCTATTAACATGTTTTTTTTAGACATGCACTCTTTGAAAGTAACTTTGAGGACCATATAGATCCCATTATATATGAATATAATTTACACTTGAAAATATATCAGAGTACCATGGTGTTACTTTATTACGATCTAATACCTTCCAGCTTTATCTATATTTAAAGTGCACTTAGAACATTTACCCTTTTGTGTGCCTTTTTAATTCTTCACAATAATAAGTTCTTCTAAAAACAATACTTATTTTATGTGTTTATTATGTGTATTCTGCTATTTCTTTGATCGGGAAAACAATATTACTACAATCACTATACAAGTATAATCTGTTCAAGAAAGCAAGAATAAATGGGTGTGTATTTAAAGATCACATTTCCATTTAAGCAAGCCCGACTGTCAGTAACCTAACGTTACATGACATGTTTACCAAACGCGTCCTCCGCCATTAACTGCAGCTGTGACACTTCTCATAACGAAACACGAGAAATAACGTGACGGCCAACAAAATATTACCCGTGGAGATAAAAAGCAGCGTGAGAAGCATCGTGACTCTAGCAAAGGCTTCTCTCGAACCGCAGTGTCGTGTTTAGAAGCTCGTCTGTGCTGGACGCTGGAGGTGTTTATGCTGCAGTGCCTCGCCTGGGTCGCGTGATCAGGCTTTTATGCTGATGATCTCACTGTCAGCTGACCGCTGCGCATGCGCGCGACTGAGGCGCCTCTATGTGGGTCGAAAAACGCAATCAAAAAGCTCTTGTCGTTTGAACTTTGCATTTTTTGTTGTATTTTGGAGTTTTACGTAGTATTGATGTGATCTATGTCTTCCTTATATATACATATATATATATATATATATATATATATATATAAAACCCTAACTATAATAGATATACAGTTCGGAGTCAAAAATCCAATTATACAAATATATACAAAATTATGCAAAAACTTTTTGTTCCTGTTTCAAAAACCTAAATTATAATAATTTTGGCGAATTCTGCCCTTCAAATAATATTTAAATATAATCGTATTTTCTATAGATTTCTGGGTTAAAACGTGTACGTAATCAATTTCATGAATAGTTTTATTCCGTATGATTTTTAGTGGTAAATTCATGTTGAGAGAACTAGTCCATATAGCGTCATAACAAGCTCTGCTAGTGTCACACAAGTTCAATGTGAGTTAATAATTATATTTCCATTTGCAAGAGAGCCTATTAACATGTTTTTTTAGACATGCACTCTTTGAAAGTAACTTTGAGGACCATATAGATCCCATTATATATGAATATAATTTCCACTTGAAAATATATCAGAGTACCATGGTGTTACTTTATTACGATCTAATACCTTCCAGCTTTATCTATATTTAAAGTGCACTTAGAACATTTACCCTTTTGTGTGCCTTTTTAATTCTTCACAATAATAAGTTCTTCTAAAAACAATACTTATTGTATGTGTTTATTATGTGTATTCTGCTATTTCTTTGTTCTTATGTACTGAGAAATTATTGTGATGACTGTTGTGCATTGCTTGAATAAGAAAAGAAGACAATACCTTAATGTTATACAACATGTGGTTCATTCCTAAATTTAGACTCAAGTTGGTTATATCAGGTTCTCGACAACAATAATTCTACACTGTAGACTGAGAGCTTAACTTACTTCATTGCATATTAATGTTTATTTTATCTAAAGTTGTTCTGACTACAGCTTATTCCAAAATAATGATCATTATAATACTGAAACAAACTGTAAAATGTTACATGACTCAATTCTATATATTGAATATATCAAATGTAACCTGTCCATTAAAATACAAACTTTTGACATGTTGGTAGATTGAAGATTTAAAAACAATGTTTTTTAATATATTTTTGGACACCTCTTTAACCCATTTATATAAGGGACTCTATAAGAGTATAAGACGATTAAAAAAAAAACACCTTAAAAGAAGAACCCCTAACTACTGTATGTTGGTGACATTAGTCAAGGCCAATATCTCTATAAGATAGAGATGAATAAAACCACTTACAAGAAATGAGATTGGAAAACAAAGCAGGTTTACAATAAAACCCAGAATGCCATGACAACAGACTGAGAGAGAGAAAGAACTTTGTATTATTTCAGCATCTTGCTTGATTTGATTGAACTGCCGTGTTTTATCTTTTTTTTTTTTTTTCCTGGTGACCGTTTATTTTATGTTCTCTAAGAGGAAAAGTTTAAGCTTTGCATAACAGCACGTCTCATGTTACAGTATCATGAGGATAAATCACTTAAGGCACAGCTTTCCTCGACAACACTTACATTTATTTCGTTATTTGTAAGTCACGTTTGTGGAAGAGTATGACTGTCACAGAGTGAGATATACAACTTCATTTTTATGTTATTTATTTATGAGCATGTAATTATTGAAGCAGAATCTGTCATATTAATATTAAATATTCCAAAAATGCTGATCCCGCAAAGAGGTCATACGTACAGTGCTTTGTGGAAACATACATCACATAATTAGCTGAAGTAAATGCATTTCTCCAAAACTATAAAAAGGATGCTGACATTTACTAGCTTGTCTCGTTGCAAAAGTGCATTCACATGATCCAGCAGATGACGCCAGTCCTAGGGGGGGAAAAAGACAAGAATTTACTTATGGCACATACGACAGCACAACTACCATCATCATCAACGACAACAACTATCATACTCAAAAATCACACAAAAACTGGGAGCTTTGAGCTCAAAAGCATTTGAACACCTTAGCGCAGATTTAATTGCTTATCAAAACAAATAGCACCTGAAAATAAACAATGCTAGACATAGAACTAACTTCAATTTTTACATTTTTGCAATGACTTGAACCGACTTGTGATCATCATACAGTGATATTTGAACTCAGTCCCCATCAAGTTCACACAGGTGTCCTAGCAGAGAGGTGTAAAACATTAACTCCAATAAAGTCCAAATACTACTAATCGCATCCAAAATAAAAGTTTTTGTTTACATAACATATGTGAGTGTACTGTTTATATTTATTATGTATGTATATATATATATATATATATATATAAATACACACACATGCATGAATATATTTAAGAAAAATATGTTGTTTATTTATTGAATCTATTTATATATATATAATATAAATATATACATGTAAATACATGTAATTATTTACAATATATATACTGTATGTGTGTATATTTAAATATACATAATAAATATACACAGTACACTACACACACATATTAGTGCTGTGTTCAAAATATCGATACGACGATGTATCGTCACAGAGATTTGACGATACGAGCATCGATACAGCTGGCCCTGTATCGATATTGTGGCACGTGTGCAGCAGTGG